ATGAGGAAGCCATTTTTTTTTTTTTGTATAGGGATCTTCCGGTTTCTGGATTCACAGGGAAATCGACTAATTCAGAATTGAGTCGGGTAGGACCACAAGGGCGGCAAAGCTCTCCCTTAAGAGTTTTAACACTGTTGCATTCTCAGGGCTCGAACACGAGACCATTGGTTAAGTTGGAAGAGACTCAAACCATCTGCGTTCTTGGGTAATTAATTAACATTTTTATTTTAATTAAAAATATTAAAAGGCCAAATAATAGACGGCTTTTGATTTTTATTGTAAACACAAAATGCTGTTCCAAGATTTCGGCTGTCCAATTAATGCCTTTTCTCTATTTAATTGGGATTTTTGGACCATGAGAACTAAAAACAACAAATATATTTAAAACAAGGACCGACCACGCTAGCAAAGTCTTCTCTAGATGTATCATCATAATCTATATTTAGGGAAAAAAAAATAAAAATAACTAAAATTGTAATTTCGAGACATTATGGAGTTTGGTAGTGTTATACCACAAATCTTCGAACCACTTGACCGCTCCTCTCAAACTGGATTGAACTTCCTTGATCGTCGGTACCTGCAAAATACGTCGGGAGTGGTACCGACGCGAGCACTCCGACGCTCAAGTCAGTAGGATTTCGTGAAGAGAAAACGGCAGAGTATCAAGATAATGCGTAAGTGTGTGCTGTGTAAAATTAATGAATTGTGCCCTTTTATAGGTGAGATCATGTAGAGGCTGAGGAGTTCTTATCAGACTATAAGTCTTCCTCGTGTCTACCTCTAAATCAGGACAAATATTTCATATCTTAAGAGTCCTTAAGATTGTGAACCTCATCATGACTTGATCACAAAGCCACCTCCGGGCTCTGGTCCCCTCGGCAGAACCCTCCGGCCGAGCTGCCTAGGTGTCGAGGTGCCTAGCTGCCTAGGCGATCACATCCGTCTAGCTCATCACTCTTAGTATCCCGCCTAGATCACGCCGAGCTATCCTCCACCTAGCTGGTTGAACTATGCCTAGCTGGTTGAACCATGCCTAGCACCCATCGACTTCAAAAGTACCACAAGGACGCC